GAAGGCCCCCCAGCCCCGGGCTGTGCCAGCTGCCGCCCTGCCCTCGCTGCCCGGAGCAGCGCCCCCTGGCACGGGGCGCGGGCCCGGGCATTCCTGCTGCCCACCTCTGCCACGCAGCGTCTGGCACCTCCTCAAGGCAGCTAGTCCCACACCACCCTCTACCAGGCCATCAAAAAATAGTAATAACGAGGATAATAACAACCCTATCAGGCCATCGTCTCAACGCAGCCTTGCCTTTTAGCTACAGCTGCTTTTTTTCCACCTTAGAAAATCATAGAAAAATCATAGAAAATGAGGGCTGGAAGGGACCTCAGGAGGTCACCTAGTCCAACCTCCTGCTCAAAGCAGGACCAGCCCCAACTAGATCATCCCAGCCAAGGCTTTGTCTAACTGGGTCTTAACTTCCAAAGATGGAGAGTCCACCACCCCTCTAGGTAACCTGCTCCAGTGCTTTACTGCCCTCTTGGTGAGAAAATTCTTCCCAATATCTAACCCGAACTTACCTTGCTGCAACTTTTTTCCAATGGAAAATCCATTGCTCCATCTCAAATGGCAGCTTCTAAACAAAATCTACTTTTATGGGGGGGATTTGTGATGGTCCAGAAAGAAAGCAAGAAGGAAGGAGTGTTTATTTATTTAAGTTTACTTTTTATTTATATTATTTATTTATTTGTATTTTATTCATTTGGACCAACTGGACAGTTATCCCTTTGATGTCAACAGGACTATTCCTTTTTAAATTTTAGCAAGTGGCTCTGCAGCACAGAGGGGCTATAGAAAACAAAGCAGATTTCTTTGCCTACAGTTTACACCTTGAGTTATTCAGCACCTAAAATATGTTAGCCCACTTGATTTCACCCTTCTTGCTGCATGTTTTAGCGAAGGCAGCGGGTCAAGTTAACTTGTATTTATCGGCAATCTAGAAAAAATGGGTATTTTTTTCTAGCTTTCGGGCATCAACACAATGCTGAAATGTTTGGACTCCAGCTGTTGCAAGGGACAGCTCTCTTTCAGAAAGTTATGGCCAGAAAGGACTACTATCAACTATGATCAGGCGTTCATAGAACAACCTCAGCTTTCATTTGAAAGAAATAAGGCAGTCTGTAGCCTGCCTGACTGGTTCTGGAGGAAAGCTGGAAAAATGTGATCTCAAAACAAACCAAAAACAGAGGACATATGAAAATGCCAACATTTTAAAAAAAAATTATTTTTAAAACAATCTCATTATATGAGAGACATGAGTCTATAATTCTTTTAAAGTTTAGGATTGCCAGTGTTGAAGCAGACATGACAGAATTTCACCCAGTAAATTTTGCCTGGCTCAGTTGTTGCAAAGCTTTCTTTCCTGCTACAGGTATTTCTCCAGAAACATCAACAGGTGGATCAAGGACATGCTTTGATTTAAAAAAAAAAAAACATTTTTAACTGTTATGTTTCTTTTAGGTTTAGATTTCTTAGTAGCTTATTTTTTAAAAAGTCAAGTTTGATTTGGTCTCAGGTCTGAATGCTTAATGTTTGAAATCTTCAGTTGCCAAATACAGCATAACATAATTATATTTTAGATACCCATTGTTCATAAGGCCTATCTACAGTCATTTATGAAAACATAACTGTTGTACGTGGTATGTTTGCATATGTGTTTTCCACGTCAAATGACCATGATTTTAAAATTGTGGGTTTGGGTCCATTGTGGCAAAAGGCTGCTAGTCACCCCAGAGCAAAGACTTCAGAACCTATAATTTGATGATTCTCAAAATCTACTGTTTTGTCTGAACTACAATACTAAAAGTCTGTTTTCTGGTGACTATGAAGGGAATTTACATCAGAGCTTTCCTTCAGTAAATAGTAAGTGTGGCTATCTCCATCTACATCAATGAGGACATATCTTTCATCTTGTGCAAAGGACTAAATCCTGCAACCTTTACTCAGTCTGAGTTTGGGATCTGCGTCTGAGTGAGAACTAAGGGCTAGATCCACAAAAGGACCAAGGAGCTGACTATATCACAAGCCCTCTGCCACTAATCCTGTTGCCCCGCAGCTGCCTCCACAGGGAATGCACCAGATCACATACACAACTATACAATTTCTTGCAACTCCATGGCAGCTATATGACCTAGGCCCACATCCTAAGACATGATGGGCACTGACAGAAGTTACATTTGTCCTGCGATCAGCCCCTTGAAAGTGCTCCACAGCTGTGCCTTAACAGAAGTACACAGCTACAGAGCACTTTTAAAGTTCCCACATTTTGCAACAAATTTCTCTCTGCTCTGGCAGCTGGGCTGATGCAGGCCCACCCCTGATGCTGTCTGCATAGTGGGAGGGGGTTAAAAAGGATGAGGGAAGCTCTGGTTGGGCTCTGCCCAGCCTGTGCTGGAGTGGGGGTTGGTAAAAGCCCCATGAAAGCGCCCAGTCTTTACAGACATTGCTGAGCCAGGTTGAAGTAATTCACTTCCACTTTTGGAGTTCAGCATGGGAATGCACTGAGTTAAAAGTAAAGCTCTGTTTTCTGGAGTTTATTTTTAGCCTGCAAGCACCCACTGGCAAAAAACAAAGTTAGCGCCTATATATCCTTGCAGAGAAGTAAACAGAATCAGGGCCTTAAATTGTAAAATCTCAGGGAAGGAAGTGCAGTACCTTACCTCAAGCGGGGTCCTTTGGGATTTATTCTAACAACGATGATAATAATTATTTGCTTCACATATACGTTTGAGACAGTTGTAAAAACTAAGTTCAGAAAAAATGAGTGGACTGGAAAAATCCATCCAGGTGTATTTAATTGAGAATGGCATAATACAGAAAAAAGAACAATAAAGAATGGCATAATCTAGTAGTGCAGGATCAAAGTCTAAAAAAACAACTGTATAAAATGAGGCCAACCCCTTCCGGGACCAGATGCCTACTAGCAATGCTTCTGATAAAACATGATTAGAGCTAACTGGGTTCTGTCTGACCAGCACTGACAACAGAGATTTATGCTAAGGCAGGAGTAGGCAATCCCCCACACAGGTGCCAGAGTGTGGCACTCAAAGGCATTTTGCTTGGCATATGCGCCTCAGGGCGCATGGCAGGGAAGGGCCAGGGCTGCACTGTCTCAGCAAGGATTGACTCCCCCACCATCTGCCCCCGACATGCCAACAATTTACAAGTTGAGGTTGCAGGTGTTTTTGGCACTCTGCCCAAAAATACTGCTGACCCCTGTGCTAAGGACTGTGTTAAAACTGATTGCATAGGCAGTAATGTGACTTCTGCTGCCCTTTCTGGTCAAGGAAACAATGCTAGAATCCACGTAGCGTTCTACTGAACCCAATGGAATCAAAGCCCTAGACCAGTGGTGCCCAACCTTTTTGCCCTGTGGGCTGGATGGATGGTGCCAGGTCCCTCTGCAGGGCAGATCTCGCTGATGGGTCCAGTCTGGCTGTGGAAGGGGGTTGGGTTGTGTAGCCTGACCTTGGTCCATCTGCCTGGGGCAGGGGCAGTGTGCAGCAGCCCCAATCCAAATGTGCTGGGATGGCAGGGGAGTTCTGTGAGCAGTTATGCCAGAACAGGAGATGCCTTGATGCTCGGGAGGCCTTCTCCCTGGTTGGGCCTCACTCCAGCTCATATAATGGGGCCTACAAAGTGGCTTGCTCATGGGATATTTCCCTTAACCTGCCTATCATGCCATGATCTTACATAAGAAGGAGGGTCCTAGGATGTTACTGGCAACCCTTGTGGGCATGCACGTTATGGATGTTCCTGGGGCTCCTCCTCCCCTTCACCCCGTCCATATGCCAAGGCCTGAGCTGTGTTGGTAATTCTGCCCTCAGGCCACAAAGGGCTGGTGCCTCAGATACACTTCTGAGTTCGGAGATACCTGGGCCTGGATTAATTCAGGACCACTCAATTTACTGCTACCATGGCTTAATGTGCTCATTCACTAATCACGCTTCAACAATCAATTCATTCACGGGTTCTCTTAAAGCAACAGAGTCCATAATTGTCCAACTCATGTTGTCCAACAACATGGTTGTCCAACAACATGGTTGTCCAACTCAAGTCCCAGCCCCCAATTAATTCACAGGCTTTCAAAATCAAGGTTTCAATTAATTTATACTGTTCAACTCAAGTCATGCGCCATTAATCAATTAATAGCAGTGTCCTTATGCAAGCGGTTCTTACAACAATGAGGACTACCCCTTTAAGAAAAAAATTGGAAACCAAAATAACAGCCTCTTCACCATGCCTGGCTCTCGGGCCACAATAACTGCCACACTCACATGTCCCTCTCCCTGGGCCTGGGTGCCGGCATTCAAGAAGTCTTCCTCGGAGCAATTTTGGGTCACTGGGTGGCTGGAAATCCCTCCAGATTTCCAGGCTGGGGATCTGGCTAAGCTCCTTACTGGGTCCAGTGTGACAGGGTCCGTTGCAGCTGTGGCATTTTGCCCTCCTGCTCTGCTCCTTCCCCCTGGTTATCTAGCTCCAGGTACAGGCCTATGACATCACCCCCTGAGCGATGCCCCAACCACAGTGAATAGGTGCTTATAAAGCACTGC